CATGAACATTCGTTACGTGCACGTAACAAATTTTTGTAAATGAGTTTTATTACATGCACAAGTTCTAGTCTATTTTCCTTCGAGTTGGTTCAACTTATATGATGTCTTGTATCAATATGCATGTAGATGAAGTAGAGATAAAATAGATTGAAGAATTGTATGAAAATATTAGGTATTCATTAATGGCAGTTCAAACAATGTCTATATGTTAAATGAGTGAGGGCTACTATAGTTGATATGTGGAGCGATGACAATGGTAATATTGAAAATTTAAGAAGGTTCAATTTTTTTTATTCTAGAGGACTGAAGCGCTTTAAAAAAAATTGGTATTTTGGTTATTTATCTGATTGATTATCTATAGATTATTGAGTATAATAAGTAACTTGGATGAAATTTTGTTGAAACATTTATTTAAAAGGTGCCACATGCTATATTTTCTTGAATTTACCTACTAGCCATTTGGAAGCTCATTAATCAGCTTGCTCCAAAAGATAAAAAGAGAGAGTCAATAATTCATGTCATTGACTTTTTATATGGTTTAACTTCAATTTAGCATGCTATTCTCGCAGAAAATAATTAGAATATTGTCCATTCAACAATATTTTATGAATTTATATTAACGCAACTAAATAAGTTATTGCAAAGTGTCTCTAGACTTTTCATTTGGTAATTAAAAAGATTCAAATTATTAAAAGCTGGGAAAAATCTATAAAAGTCAATAGAACTTCATGAAGTTTAGTAGTCAGTCCTTGAAAAGTCTACCAAAGGATTTAGAAGTTAATTAAATTCATCCCCTTAATATAATAGTTCTAGATCATCTTTTCAAGTTTCACTAGTTATGGCATTACATTGAAAGTAGAAAATTAAGTCTTTTGAGCATAACGTTTCAATCTGGTTTGTGCAGGATATTCTTGTTGGGTTATTGCGCTTGCGGAAATGTGGACGTAATGTAACTTGCCCAGAACTCGTGGGGAAGTGTTCTATTGTTCGTGAACTACATGTTTACGGGACAGCCGTTCCCGTCCACGGACGAGATTCTGATAAACTGCAACACCAGGGTTATGGTACCCTACTGATGGAGGAGGCCGAGAGAATTGCCCGCAGAGAGCACAGATCAACAAAGTTAGCTGTCATTTCTGGTGTGGGAACAAGGCATTACTACAGGAAGTTGGGCTATGAGCTTGAAGGCCCTTACATGGTGAAATATTTGACATAAGACGACTATAAGGAGGCTTGCGTGCCAAACCCGACACAGATAATTTCATTTTCATCGTGTCTTGGAGTTGGCTTTCCAGATATGTTATTTAGATAGTGTTTATATTTAACGCGTCTTCCATCCACAGTATTTCTTTGATAGGCGACTCGATATCTGATGTATCAGTGCTTGTTTCAATACTTGGATAGATTTTGATACATTCTTAGTTCAAAATTCAGTCAAAACTGAGTTACAATAATTGCTTGTGAACTGTGATAATAGAAAGAACTTGAGACGATTTGTTGAAATAAATGAATGGATAAATAAAATAATGAAAATATTCAAAGTGAAAAATGTCTTATCTGTCATTTAAAAGTTTTTCTTAAAGTGGTGGAGGTAATGTATCAACTCGATGAATTGTCGAGTTTGGAGATTTGAAATCTCTATTTACCTAACTAGATAAGTTGAACGTGTTTATTTGATTAACTCAATTGACAAATGTCTAGACATGAGAGCGTTGAACGAGTTGACCCAAAATTTATATATAATTATCTTCCAAATTGCTCAATACCACTAGATATTTTTAGTAAAAATAAGAAGAATAGGGAAATGGATATTGTTAACAGCATAATATGGAATTTGGTTATTATTAACATGTACGGATAATTTACCAATTAAATGATGTGTCATGTCACCGATGTTTAGGAGATCAGTTTCGTATATATTTGTTGCTAAGTTTTGGTCACTTTTAGCGCAATTTCAAGTTGTGACAAGTGGTTCGACTTCGAGACTTCAACCAGACCCCTCCTTGGTGCTAGTGAGCAAGAAAAGAGAGAGAATTCTATATAAATTGAACTGAGCAAATGAAACAAGAAATAATTCAACCATGTTTGTCTTAAAAGAATAACCCATTTAGGATCAAAAGTCACAATAACATTAGAAAATGAAGTGATTTACGCATGCAATAAAAATATATTTATCAGATAGAAAAGACATGTCTAAATTACGATAATCCCAAATATTTTTCTTGTATTTTCCACTAACTTTGTACATATTCCCATAAAGATGTGTCAGCCTCTTTTATTACAGTGCAATGAAAAAAAGCATGATTATTATATTAATCCTTATTCTAATTAATCAGTAATTGGAATCTTACAAGAAACGAGGAGTAATGCAAGTACGCACGGTTAATTTCTTGGGATGGACCATTAATAGGATAAGGGTTTCTTCACTTTTTTAAACTGTATTTTACGTCTCGTAAATAACTTTGATAACATGTTTTAGTATACTGAAATAGATCAAACTTTGAGAGGATGAAACGATTGCAATTTCGCGAGGTTTGTCGTTCTTGATTATTTTTTATTTCCTTTTTTATTATTTAACTAAAATAACAGTCTGATATTTCAATTTAATTCATGGCTTTATTTCCAATTTCTTAAAATTTGCTATTCAAGTTTCTTTAAACAAAAATGCTAAGATGTCAGGCTGATTTTACCAGACTCTTTGCAGGTTCTCATGATGAAATGGGCCCTATGTGAGACCCTTATGTAATAAAAAATTACAACAAAAATGCTAACACACCTCATTGTGAGGTGCACAGTATTCAGCCCTCGCATGATTGTCATAGCTTCTTAGGACAACCATAGCCGTCTTGTCTTATAGCGCGAAACAACAGGAGAGGCCACCGCCTCTGGATGACCGAAGAATCGAAAGAGATGCTGGTATAATATTGGGTCTCCCCCTCCAACGGGATCAAAAAAGTTGTATTAAAGTGGTAGGCTCTACCCTGACTGTGTAGCATCCTTCTTTCTTGTTGAATTTGTTATGCAAAATCTATGGATTGACTTCCAAAATCCGCAAGTACTATTCAGAATCAACACATTTTAAGGCCTTTTTTTTTTTTGGTTTCGCATTGGTTGTTTCCTCTTTATCAGAACAGTTAAAATTCTTTAACAAGTTGATGGACATCGCATTCTTCAACTGATATTCGAATATAGTGGCAAAAGAAAGACCAGCTATAGAGCCAAAGCCTCCGCCACCACGGGCTCAAACATCCCATCCCTTCGTGAACCAAATGTTGCCGCCACCGCCCCAAAAACCACGACCAAATCTCGAACCGCAACATCCCTATTTAATTTTAATTCATACCAGACAGACCCTTCCAAACTAACATCTCCTGCCTTTCAATTTGTTACCTACTAATGTTAGACAGATCCCAAAGTAATACCCAAGAACTCCCTCTACACCTCATAGAAAATATTTAATAATGTGCCATCACACAGGCAAATTCCCACAGCCCAACCTCCCGTACAATGAAATGTGTGATTAATAAAAATAAGTTTGAAGAAAAATGAATTTTAACAAATGAAAGCCGAACAAAATCTTATCATCATGCGACATTTTTTGTAACGATTAAAGCATACACACTATTTATTTAAAAATGTTAAAAAGGTTGTCATTGTTTCCTTACAAAAACCCACTACTTGTTTAATGACTTTGCTTACGATCGTAATTTAAGCAAGTTAGGCCACATGATGAATACGATGGATTCAAAGATTGGATTCGATTTTTCAACTAGGGTTCTACATAATGGGAATCTGGTTGTCTTTCAACAAAAATATTTGAAATCATGAAAGTACATTTTCTAATGGGTTTGGCCAAAAAACATCCAAGGACCGATCTTTGGTGGGTGTAATAAAATCACTAAATTTAAGACATTTCTTTCGTCTTTTGGCATCAATTGGTCAATGTTTAATTGACAAGGACTAGTACCAAACCAGTCAATTTCAACCTTCAATCATTCTTGGCTTTGTTATTATTATTATTTATTTTCTAATTTTAAAAAATTATTTTCATTATTTTCTCTATATGAAATGAAATAAGAGACAAGAAAAAGAGATATGATGAGATTTTTTTCTCAGCAGCATCAAATATATATGTTATATTAAATAATAGGACAACAAACAATTGGTGTTATAATTAGTTTTAAATTTGGCCGTTGTAACTAATGTGTCACATAGAGCATAGAAACATGATGACTTCATATTATATTTACTTTGGTCGACCATTTTAAAATTCTAAACTCAAGAATAGCGATTTAACATGATATTTGAAATACTAGCATTAGTAGAAAACATTAAAAAAAAAAACGATCTCTTTTAATCTCTATTCACTTTCCTGGAAAAATATTAACTGAAATTGAGGTTTTCTTCCAACAATAAAAGATATATGATAAATTAACCCTAATCAAATTTGCTAAGGTCTAATAGTCATGAAGTTTGGTCAAGAACCAATTAACCAAAGATTCAAAACGATTGAAAATAGTTGAGAGCTCAATAAAATTCATGATGATTGCAGAAATCTTTGTATATCGTGCCCAAATCTTAGCATTACTAAAGACTTCCACGAATAAAAGTATTATGACAAAAAAATAAATTTTATTTTTATTTAATTCGAGTGGATTATATGGAGATTTTTGTCGCTCCATTACCTTTAATTGAGTATTTTATCTGGTGAAAGTTCGCAAATTAATTAAATCCTTGACAACTCAACAATGTCATATTAATTTTGATCTACTCTTCATCTTCTAACATGCTCTAATGATATCAAAATACCTTTTTGAACGAGAATCTTTTTAATGTTTTATAAACTACCATGTAGTATTGCTCATGAAAACAAATTAGATTTTCAAGCAGTATTCTTTCTTATCAAGCAGTTTTAACATGTCATAAGGTACGAAAATCAAGGTAAAAAAGTTTCCCTCGTAGTGCTAAATTTAATTGGATGCCCTAATTATACCTTCCATCTTTAGCAACAACCCAATTCCTCAAAAGACATGATTTTTTATTATTATTTTTTCTCTCTCTTTGCAATATCTGCAATTTAGTGAAAATCAGTCTGCATGAAGCACATTAGACCAATATAAAATCCCATAGGCAGCTTTATTTCACATGTACATAAACTCAAAACTTACGATAAAACGTCATCACTCAATACTCATCTATTATATGATTGCATAATAAACACTCTAGAGAGAGATGGGGAGAGAAATGTGTGCAAGAATGGGTGGTGGATTCTGCAACACAATAAGCAAGCCATGGAAAAGAATGGGAAAATGCATAGATGAAGCAGTTTCAAAGAGCATTATTGGGAAGTTTTTCAAATTGGAGGCAAGAAAGAGCTGTCTCAGTAGGGAGTTGCGCGCCGGCACTGCCACTTTTCTCACCATGGCATATATTATAACTGTTAATGCTACCATCCTCGCCGACTCCGGTGGGACGTGTTCGGTTTCCGATTGCTCTGTGTCTGTGAATCAAACTGCTAGTTCAGATTGCATGCTGAAACCTAATGCAGGTTACCAGAACTGTCTTTCCAAGATCAAGAATGACCTTATTATTGCTACAGCCTTGTCATCTATGATAGGGTCATTTGCCATGGGCTTATTTGCCAACCTTCCATTAGGCCTGGCTCCAGGTATGGGCCCAAATGCTTACTTGGCTTACAACTTGGTGGGCTTCCATGGGTCTGGCTCCATTTCTTACAAGACTGCTATGGCTGTAGTCTTAGTTGAAGGCTGTGCATTTCTAGCCATTGCTGTTTTTGGGCTTCGCGCAAAGCTGGCTCGGTTCATCCCACAGCCGGTTCGTCTGGCTTGTGCTGCAGGCATTGGGCTTTTCATTGCATTTGTAGGCCTACAGGCCCACCAGGGTGTGGGCCTGATCGGCTCCGACCCATCAACATTGCTAACAATCACTGCTTGCAAGAGTACAAATCCAGTAACTGGGGACTGCACTGGAGGGAAAATGCAAAGTCCAACTTTCTGGCTTGGCTCATTGGGATTCTTAATCATGTCTTATGGTTTAATGAAGAATATTAAAGGTAGCATGATATATGGAATACTTACTGTTACATTAATTTCATGGATTAGAGGCACTAATGTGACAATTTTTCCTAATACCCCACTTGGAGATTCAAATTATAAGTACTTTAAGAAAGTAATTGATTTCCATAAAATTAGGTCCACTGCTGGGATAATTAGCTTAACTAACTTCAACAGGAGTGAAGTTTGGGTGGCTCTAGTGACATTGTTATATGTAGATGTGCTAGCCACCACTGGTACATTGTATACCATGGCAGAAATTGGAGGTTTTGTAAATGAGGAAGGAGTTTTTGAGGGGGAATACATGGCATACATGGTAGATGCAGGCTCAACCGTTGTGGGGTCAGCTCTTGGAGTTTCTCCGATCGCCACCTACATCGAATCATCAGCTGGGATCCGAGAAGGAGGTCGAACTGGATTAACAGCCGTGATCATCGGAATATATTTTGGGTTATCGTTGTTTTTCAGTCCTTTGCTCACTAGTGTACCTCCATGGGCAATAGGTCCATCTCTAGTAATGGTTGGAGTGCTGATGATGAAAGTGGTTAAAGATATAGATTGGAACAATATTAGGGAGGCAGTGCCAGCATTTTTCACCATGATTCTAATGCCTCTAACTTATTCCATATCAAATGGAATTATTGGAGGGATTGGGATATACATTGCTCTTGGATTATATGATCATGTTGTGGGGTGGATCAAGTGGGCTATGAAAATGAGAAAAATGATGGCGCAGGAGCAAAATCAAGTATCAGCAGATCATAATCTCGAGGTCATCTGATTAATTCAAGATTGAATAATATTTCTCTGATTTTCAAGTTTTAATGAATGCACAAGCCACCTTGAGAGATCATGATCATCCGGAAGAGGACATAGAAATGAATTAGGCACAGGAAACTGAACTTTCAAGGGCACTTGTGCATTTCTTTTCTTATTGTAAAATTTTAGTTGTAAACCAAGAATTCAACTAATGTAGGCTTGGTGCAGTTTGTTTGTACTGGAATTCTCCCCTTCTCCAACTCGATTTTAGTTTTTTGGATCATGAAATAAATTCCCATAAAGATAAGTAACTGCAAAACAGCATACAATCTACCCAGCGCCGAAGGACTTGAGAATTGGTAGCAAAAGAAGCAAGTGACACGATCTCCATCCTGCTTCCCGTAAAAAAAAAAAAAGGGCTACAATATCAGAACATAATTTTTTGTGGTGCAATAGACAAGCTCATAAGCTTCATCTCTTGAGAGTTTTCATAACCTGAACACATTGTAAGACGATGCAAACATAATTCAAAATATGAAGAAACAGTTAATCTCTCTGACATGTTTTTGTGGTGCCCAAAAAATTTATTCATTTGATTTACATAGAACTAAAAAAGATAAAAATTTATTTATTGTCATTAAATATTAAGCAAATCATCAGGATATTTACCAAATGCGATTGGATTTTTCTCACATGATTATTCTTCTCAAATTAATAAGAGCATTCCATGAGATGCCCAAACTCTTATCATCCCAGTCTCATGGAGAGGCCTCTGTGGATCAGGTTTCAAGCAGAAGAGGCACACAGTTCGGGCATTATGCGAACTACTTAAGAAAAAAACTTCTTTTTTGATCAAGAATTATCAAGATCAATCATTTCTAAAATCCGGGTCCTTTCCTAGTTTATAATAGTAATATTCAGTTTACACTTCGCAAATTCTGCGATTTTAACATTCTCCTGCAAATATTTACTCTCCTATGGTCCACATGTGGGTCTTGTACATTTGTTGGAGGGAACTTGGTTACTTGGATAGGTTAAAAACAAACTATGGTAGCTAGATCAAGTGCTGAACCCATGCTTAGAGCAATGGCTCAAGACGTTATTAAGTTATTTTGGTTAAAAGTTATTTCTAAGGAATTATGTGTTCATCAAGAGGAAATTAACAAGGCTTCACAATCCTGTTCAACATGATACGACGAAGAATGTTAAATTGATAGACATTGTATCGAAGAGAAGATTAAAAGAAAACAGATTAGCATGCAATTTATTTCTAGAAGGGAACATCTAGCCCATTTTCTTATCAAACGTGTGTCAAAACCTACTTTCTATCCACGTGTTAGCAAGTTAGAAATCATTATATAGGAAGAGTGTGGAAAATGCCTATAATTTGTTGTATTCCTTTATCTATAATGGACTTAATTAGCATAATATAAGAGAGATGTTAGAGGATAGATGTTAGGGCATTATTGAATGAGAAATTATAGGAAGTTTAGTTTACTTTCCTATATATTTGTTTTTGTGCAAGGACAGACCCAGACATTTCGAAATGTGGGGTCAAAAATGAAAATTCAAAATTTTTTCGAACAACATATCATTAATGAAAATAAAGCAATATGCTACTATAATTGTAGCCTACACGTTTTCATGCTCTAAAAACGTCGTATAAAATGTTATCAAAACTGGCCCGCCCAATCTGTTCAACTAGTAAAATGGGAATTAAGCCAATAATGCTTGGTTAATAGCTTATGACTGAACCATTCAAAGGCCCGTAGAGATATTTGATGACAAGCTCCTTTTATAGATACACTTCTCTCAAATGGTTTTATAAACTTTCAACGAGGGATAGTGCAATTTATAGATACACTTCTCTCCAATAGTTTCATAAACTAAATGTTAACAAGTTATAGAATAATTAATCTAATTAACAAATTATTAATATGAGAATTTTTTTTAAAAATTATTGTTTTCATAGTATTTCATTATTTTTATATGTATTTATTGCATTCGGTTCGATCTCGGTTGAACATTTTGACCCTTCAACTTTTCGGGTCAATGACCGGGCTAATTTTCAAAACATTAGTCGTAAAATTACATCCTTATCAATATTATCAAGTACATCGTTTTCAACATATACAACCAAAATATCACTTAACCATTGATCTCCTATCCGATTACGCATTCGATTCTTGGCAACCTTGATTGCAGAAAATACTTTCTCTACCGTAGCAGTAGCAACTAGAAGAATTAACGCCAATGTTATAAGCCTGTAAACTAATGGGTACACCTCATTTTTTTCGTCGTAACCAACTTTTCTACAAGATGATTAAGGTCTCGTAACCCTTCAAAATCTTCATGAGGGTGCATATCAATAATATATGTCTGAATTTGCTCTTCAAGTGCCAAGACCTCTATTAGTTTAAAATCTTTGAGATAATACTCACACAATTGAATTAACTTGTTCGTGTCGAAAGCAGAAAATGAATTATCCGACACAAGCATGCAACACAAAGGAGTAAGTCACTATTTACCTCAAAGAAACGATCATTCAACTCTTGAATTTGCATATCGATGATAGCATAGAAGAAATCCTCACGAAAATGATGTATATTTGTCATTTCTTGAGTGTTACGCTGTGAACGGCTTAGAGGTATAAACATAAATATCATCCATATTGGGAATATCAATATTGTACCTTTTGCAATTGGAGTTCTTAATCCAGGATCCGAAGGCAGTTGTGCTAAATCAATTTTATCCCGAACATCTCTTTGACTCCTAGTATCTGATTCTTCTTGGCCATTTTTTTTTTTTTTTTGAATACTCGTTTCAGCAATAGTTTGCCCTCCACTCGAACATTCGGATTTTTGTTTAAAATATTTTTCCATGACCGTTAAAAAAACAAACTCAATACACTAATAAATAAATAAATACTATATTTCATTTTCATCAAAACGTAACATTCAACAATTAATTCCATAAAAAAATCTAAATCACCAAGTTAGAGAAAGTCATTACTTACTTGGAATTGGAATTTAGATTTTACTTTTGAGAATGGATTCTAATATTTCCACTTTTCCAGCTCGGCAGCTCCACGACAATGAAAATTTTAAACTGTAATTTTAAATGATTGTTCCCAAATTGTAAAAGATCAATTCCATATTTCCATTATTTCATACCAAATTAGTAAATACTTTCATCCATTTTCAATTCATCAATTTTAAACATACAGATCCAAACCGTACATAGTACATACCTTTTTCAAAATTTCACCATAGTCCGTAGTTAAGTAGTAGCAGGGGTGGAACTATATAGCAGGGGGCTAAGCCGTTGAGGGACGGCCGGGTGGAGGGCCGATGGCGAAGAGAAATCTGGAAAGTGGAAATATTGTAACTCATTATATAAGTTGGATTGGTTTTGGGTAAATCAGTAAATGGATTATGGGATTATGGATATGGATATAATGATTGAATTTGGGCTTTCATAAGTGTGGGCTACTATTGGGAAATTGGGTTTGGCAATTGGCAGCGGGTAGTTGTTAGGTTATATAAAAAAAAAAAAAATCCAAAAATTTTGTGGGGTCATTTGACCCTACATGGTCCCATGTGGGTCCGCCCCTTTTCTTGTACTGTTTAGAATTTATCAATGAAATATATGAAATCTCACAAAATTCTTTAGTGGTTTTCAGATATTGAGGAATTATTTTGTTCAAATTATTCATGATAAGAAATTTGAGATTGAAAATGCTTGTCTATTATTCATGACTGAATAATAGAGTTGATTTGGATTGTTCATCTGGTTAACAATATTAAATTTGTTTCCTATCCTTGTTTCAAGTTGTTGTAATGACTTCATGTTGTTTGTAAAATTGAGAATTTGAATACTTATTCAAGTAGTAATGATTTTAAGTTGTTTCTCAGCATACATAATTACTCTTCAATTTTATGTGACTGATCTAATTTAGAATTCAGAGTACTATTATTCCATTACTGGTTTCTAGGCACGACGGAAATTATTTCTTGTCAAACTTATTCAAAAAAGTAATACTCTAAAAACACATCAAAATTATACAATATGGTTAAAAATCTGCTGTTATCAGATTTAGTTGGTGAATAATTAATAACTTAATTGAAATTTAAAAATATAACCATGTACAATTCATTCATCTCCCCACTTCAACACGCAACAAAAGTAAGCAAAAAGTAAATTAATCGTTGCAAATTCTGAATTCACAAAATAGTTTAACCTCACTCATATAAAGAATTAAAGACGTGATGAAAACTAATTAACTTAAGGCCACCAACACTTTCACGCTAGGACTGAGGGTGGCAACGCATGCTCGTGACTAGGTTTACTAATATATCAATAAAAAACAATCTGGACTTATCTAATAAGTTTGTGTTGGGCAATTTGTTGTCAAATGACCTCCCCCGAGCTATGATGTTACTCGGTTTATTTTTTCAGTCGGCTTAGCCAAATGATTGAACGGGAATCTAACACTACATTCAAAACGATATGACCCAAAGGTTAATTGGGCCACTTTAAGCAACCTAAATATTTTAGTGTTGCTCGTGGCCCAATCCACTTCCTTGGATGACCATTAATTGAGAGAAAAACATGTGAGCCTATTTAACTATCTTTTGGGCCTCTAATTTGACCCATTGGTTAACCTGCCTATACTTACCTTATTTGAGCCAATGGTTACAAGATATATTGGTATCTTTCTCTTTAAGTGAGAGACGTTCTCACAGCCTCTCATTTTCGGCCGGCCTCTACGTGTTCTTCCTTCTACTCTTTCTGTCTCTTTGTGATTCCTATCTTAGTGGTGATATTAAATAAGATTTCTAGCACATTTGTGATTTTCTAAGTGAAATATCTCATTGGCAATGTGAAGTGGAAGCTTGATTATTGTCTTCAGGGGGTGGAGCTCCATTAAGTCCTGCCCGCACTGAACTTTTGGGCTAAAGTAGGCCCATTTTTTTATTTTTATTTTTTGTAAAGCTTGGTTCAATCTCCAACTCAGATGTAAGCCCAATTGCCCACAGCCCATGACCCGTTTACTGACCCAGACCCAGAATGTTGATTCAATTAACCCATTTTCATTGAAATCAAAACCAAACCCTTGCCTGAATCGCATCTCTCTCGACTCTCGCCCTACTTCTCGCCAATCTGACTCGTAGTCGTCGACTTCTAGTTTTAGTCCACCGGCAGCCAGCATCTCCTAGATTAGGGGCTCTAATCTCCGACCTAGTAAGTAGTAACCTCAAAGTCCAAAACCCAATCCCCCTCCCCAACGCAACTTTAATATCCAACCGCCGTCTGCTGCCACCTGAATAGCTGAACTGCAGAACAGTTCAACACTTCAACCGCCTGCCAGCCCAACAAAAGAAGAAGAACTAAAGAAGCCGCCAGAAGAACGAAGAAGGTGATTTTGATTTTAATTTCAATTTCAGCCTCCAATTTCAATTTTTTCAGCATAGTGATTTTGATTTTTCCCCCTTATTTGTTGTTATTTTGATTTGTGTCTATTGTAATTTTTTTTTTTTTGTCTTTCACATATGAAATAAATATAGCACTTTGGACTTCGATTGCTCAAAGAGGCACGGACAGCAGACTTCTCCGCTTCCATCCAGTACTGGTCTTCTTTTAACCTCAGAGCTTTCTTCCCTGGCTTTTTACCTTACTAATGGTTTTGTCCAGCTAAGGGATACTGCATATTTCAAGCTAGCATGAATTTGTAGTTTGAGAAGAAGTAACTTAGCAGAAATAGTTGGGATTGAGCGGAATAATACTTGCTAACTTCCACTGCATTCGACAAGTGCAACACTAGCTTTCGATTTTGGAACCGTCACTGGTACCTGCTCTGGATTGGAAATTGCGAACCATTGTGTGAAATTGTAAGTTCCAGTTGCTTAAGATTTGGAAATAGTATAAATTGCATTGTGAAATTGTGAATTGGAAGGTGAATTGATATTGTGAAATTGGATTAATAATGTGAAATTGTGAATTGCATTGTGAAATGTGATTTCAATGGATTGATAGTATAAATTACATTGTGAAATGGCGAATTGGAAGGTGAATTGATATTGTGAAATTGGACTGATAATGTGAAATTGTGAATTGGATTGTGAAATAGTATAAATTGCATTGTGAAATTGCGAATTTGAAGGTGAATTGATATTGTGAAATTGGATTGATAATGTGGAATTGTGAATTGGATTGTGAAATGTGAATTGCACTGCAAACTGAAATTGTGAATTTATGATCCTTTTGTCATTATGAATTATTTTTACTCACTCCCAATAATAATTGGATATCAAATGTTTAAATCCAGCTATCAAATGAATAGATACTTTTAACGAAAAAAGAACGTAGATAACGTTGATGAAGGGTATCGAATAATGTGAAATTTGACGTCACAAAACTTCCAACTGATCCTGGTCTAAGGATACCTATTTTGGATTACAATGCTAACATCCGAGATGAAGTTCGAAGAGCATATATGTTAAAGGGTCCTTGTCAGCTCCAAGATCATGACTTTCCAAAATGATAATTTGGAGTAACAATTAGACGATTCAATCCTTTGTGGTTTAAAGATTTCGATAGCTGGTTGGAGTATAGTGTAGAGAAGGATGCTGCTTATTGTTTGTATTGTTATCTTTTCAGAACAAGTTCTGGAAAGCAAGGTGGAGGTGAGTCTTTTGTTGGCGAAGGTTTTACATATTGGAAAGATAAAAAAAAAAAAGCTTCATACTCATGTTGGACTTCATGATAGTGCACATAATTAAGCTCGCATTAAGTGTGAATTGTTGATAAGTCAAGAGCAACACATTCAATCAGTTTTCTACAAATAGTCAGAACAAGCAATAAGTGTATATGTTACACGTCTTAATGCATCTATTAATTGTGTTCGAGTTCTTTTGCGACAAGGGCACTCATTTCGAGATCATGATGAATATGAGGATTCTCTCAATCCAGGTAACTTCTTACTGCAATTGCAATTTTTGGCTGCTCATAATGAAGTTATTGATGTCGTCACATTGGGAAATGCTCCTCACAATTGCAAATTGACATCACCTGATGTTCAAAAGGATATAGTAAATGCTTGTGCTATTAAAACGATCAATGTTATTATCAAAGATGTTGGCGACTTACTATTTTCTATTCTAGTTGATGAATCTCGTGATGTGTCAATGAAGGAGCAAATGTTTATTGTTTTACGTTATTGAGACAATAATGGGCATGTCAATGAACGCTTCATAGGGATTGAACATGTTACAAGTACCACGGCTCTATCACTTAAGGCCGCAATTGATAAGGTATTTTCTTGATATAACTTGAGCATGTCTAGATTGAGAGGACAAGGTTCTGATGGAGCAAGTAATAAGCAAGGTAAGTTTAATGGTCTGAAAACACTCATTTTGAAGGAGAGCTCATGTGCCTTTTACATTCACTGTTTTGCTTATCAACTCCAACTTGCGCTTGTGGCTGTGGCAAAGAAGAACATCCTTATTACTAACTTCTTTTGTGGGGTTGGGGACGTGATAAATACTATTGGAACATCTTCCAAACATTGTGATCTTCTTCGAGAAAAACAATTAGACTTTATTGTTGAGGCATTGGAAAAATGTGAAATTTTAAGTGGATGGGGACTTAATCAAGAAACGACCCTTTAGCGCTCTGGTGATACACGATGGAGTTCACATTATAATTCTTTGATCAACTTGCTTGCCATGTTCTCTTCTGTTTTAGATGTACTTGCAATGATCGTTGAAGATAAATCTTGTTCTTGTGATCAAAGATCTGATGCAACAAATTTATTGGAGTCGATACAAAAATTTGATTTTGCATTTAATTTACAGTTGATGAGAAGTGTCTTGGGAATGTCAAATGAACTGTCAAAGCATTGCAAAGGAAAGATCAAGATATTATGAATGCAATGCAATTGGTGAGATTGTGCAAACGTTGACTCCAAATAATAAGAGACAAAGGGTGTGACTCCTTTTTGGAAGAAGTATATTCTTTTTGTCAACAACATTACATTCATGTACCCAACATGGATGATATGTTTGTACGCCTTGTACTTCATGGTCTCCCTCAACGTAATTCTCCAGAAATTAAAATTGACATCATTACCAAGTAGATTTGTTCTACTCTGTCATCGATTTACAACTTCAAGAATTGAATGATCGTTTCTCAGAGGTAAATACATAGTTGCTCTTTTGTGTAGCTTGTTTATGTCCACAAGATTCATTTTCTTCTTTTGACAAGAAAAGCTTGATTAGACTTGTTGAGTTTTATCCATTAGATTTCTCTTTAATAGATGTCATTGTACTTAATGATTAACTTGAGACTTATATTTTTGACATACACTCTAACAAAGAGTTTGAAGGGTTGAATGACCTTGGTGATCTTGCGAAAAAGTTAGTTTTGACAAAGAAAGATAAGGTATATTCATTGGTTTATAGACTTTTGACTTTAACGGTTGTTACCGCTACTGTGGAGAGAGTCTTTTCTGCATTGAGCATTATAAAGGATAGATTGTGCAATCGGATGGATAATCAGTGGATGAAAGATAGCACAATTGTTTATGTAGAGAAATATATATTTTTGAAGTTCGATAATGAAGTTATTGTAGACGATATAAAAATATGAAAACTCACAAGGAACAAGTTTAATATATAAATTATGCCGTTTTTAGTATTGTTGTAATATTGTTTTATTTTTTTTATCATCATTAAATCTATGACCAAAACCTCGAAGTGGCGTCGAAAAATGCTGCTCGCACTGAGCACAAATCCTCGCTCCAGCCCTAATTGTCTTGGGTCATTGTTGTCAACTTGTGGTGTTGGAAGTTGGTAAAAACCGATCCTGGGTTATCTTTGGTGCTCAATACACATCCAACAATTTGTATAGGCTCGTTTCATTTGTGTGACACAATTGGTAACCTATTTGAAATTTCTGACTGCAACTAACACTTTCCTAGCACACACTACGCACATGTTTGCATGTGTTCGACATGCCATTTGGTGTGTCCTAACTTAACCATGGTATTGAAAATTGAGAGAATGAAAAGCAATGAGGAGTTGTGAGTTTACTCTTGTGAGATTCTGTCAAATTATTATTATTATTATTTGTGTGTGTGTGTGTAATTCTAACTATATATTAGCACTATATTTCTGGTATAGAATATGGAAGCAAATAATCTGCGCATCACTATTATACAACTCGGGCTTCAATGTAGTTCGAGTTCAGCTATTCTCTACTAGTGCCCATTTTCGACTGCCATGCATAACTTGAATAAGCACTCGGGGCAGACGTGTTGCAGCTGATTATCACCACTTGATGAGTCCTTCCTTGCTATATATTTGACAGCTCATAGTCAGAGACCACCACCAAGTTAAGGCTCGAGCCTATGCAGTTAATGATGTTGGAATAAAGTGTTAGTGGATGAAATCGGATTCATTCATACTGTATATGCAATTTACATATTGGATTTATGTATACTGTATATGCAACATATCGTATTTATGGCTCGAGCCTATGCAGTTAATGATGTTGGAATAAAGTGTTAGTGGATGAAATCATATTCATTCATACTGCATATGCAATTTACACATTGGATTTATGTATACTGTATATGTAACATATCGTATTTATGCACACTGTGTATATAAATTATCATAGTTACAGCTTACTGTATATGCAGTATACCATATTTGAAACAGCATATTGTATTTGCAATAGCATACCGTATTTGTAATAGTTTACTGTATATGCAGTATTCAGAAAATTTTGAAGAAACTGTATTTCGTTTCTTTCGTTAACCTGATTTTATTTAAAGCATAAATAGAATGACAAAAATACTAAAATTGTAAATTATATAAAGCACAAGAATAAATTGCAAAAATAGATAAAATCCAGGAATTAAATAAATAACAGATAAACTTTCAACTCGAGGCCTGTGTGAGCACAGTTTTCTTAAAACAGATTCGCTCCCTCACTGTAAGTGTTTGAGATTTAATTCGAGCATCTGTTTAAAACCAGTAGGATCTGAACACCACAGATACTACTCCGACGAGCTGATTAGTATCCGAACAATATCACCACCAAGACGATACTGACAGAAAATGAGATTATGTATGCAGACAGACCAACTTCACAGCAGTTTCAGAAACTCAAAAGTCAGTTAGAGAAAGCAAAAAAAAAAAAAAAAAAAAATTGCAAAACATGAACACTCCAAACGTGCCAGTTTTTGCTCCATTCGATGTGACATTTATGCACATAGGTCGCGCCCACACACAAGTTCAAGGTCCGAAAGTTATTTCGGTCCTTGATTTGCACCCCCCTATGCACACGTGGAAAGAGCCTCTATGCTACACATGATTACTCCTTTTTAATGTGTAGTCATATATAAAGTGGTTTATGCTTTCTTCATTTTTCTATGTGGGACAAATCCAATTTTCCCATATAAACCATCTCCAATGATCAACTTTGAGCTCTAATTTCTCATTCATCCAAGCTTCATTTTCGGCAAGTAAATATATGATTTCGATGTTCTAACGGAGGAGAACACAAATCAATTTTGATATTTCAAATTGGACCAACAGATCCCACCGAAAATTGAGCCATTTACACATTTTTTCTAGCAAATGATTCTGGACTTGAACAGTGGTAGGGGTAGCTGTAAATACCTCAATATTCTCGTTAACACTCTTTTTGGGCCTCTTCAACCTCGTCGGTCTTTGTTGTGGTGTGTCCACTAATCCATGTTATTAGGGAAGTCATCCAACTCATAGTCAATTGGCAATGTTCTAGGAGACAAGGAGTCGTCGTTTTTTGAGCCCTTGGTTTAGGTTGAGTTTGTTTGTTCGAGGCTGCTTTCCTCTTTTTATTATTGGACTTAGCTTTATCTGCATTAGCATGCTCGGATTAAGTACCCTGCAATTTAGGCTTGTAAATTCCTCCAAAGATGAATCGCCCTGCATCAATCCATATGCCCTTTGCACCGTGTTTTTCTAACTAGCTCTCTGCAAGATTTTTTCCTCAACTGTCTCTTTACAAATCAAGGGAGGGATAGAAATTTTCTTAGTTTGACCCAGCTGATGAACTCTGTCTGTTACCCATAAACCCAAAGTTTAAGATGGATTCAATCTCTTCCAGAAATAAGACAGCGTCAGCAGCTATGAAGATTAGACCCACTCCACCAGCTCTTATACTCAACAAGAACATAAACATATCATTCCTATGCTGTAAGTTCCTAATCATATCTCGACCCATCTTCTTGGATAGTTTGTTGATACCTATATTTTCTATAGTTCATACAGTCCTCTAGAATATTCAATAATTTTGCCATTTGTGCAAAGAGAAGAAAATAGTGATTTTATGCACACAAACATTTTCCGTAACATGGAACACACTCTAGGATGGCGAAAATCTAATTCAAATACAGAAATAGATTGAAAGTGATGCATATTGAGAAATACCTCTGTATTTATTAGCCAATTATGATGAAAGTCATAAATAATGCTCTATAGTTTTGCTCTTGCTTCTTTGAATTTGATTGAACTAGTATGTTTTAATTGGTGTAATTTATCTTCTAACTTTTTCATTCGAAAACTGCACTTCGAAGTTTTTTGAGCCCTTGGTTTCAGTTGAGTTTTCTTGTCCGAGGTTGTTTTTCCCTTTTTATTATTGAACTTTGCTTTATCAGCATAGGTGGGCTCATATTCAGTACCATATCACTCTGGTCAGTTAATTCATCCAAAGATGCATCTCCCTCTGCATCAATTCGTATGCCCTCTGTAGCTCCTTTCTTCTTCTATCTATCAATGCATCATGTTACTGGCTAGCTCGCCGCAAATTTTCTTCCTTCCCTGTATGTTCAAAAGTCAAGTGAATAAATAGAAATGTCGTTAGTTTAACCCAGATGATGAACTCTGTCCATTTCTTGTAAGTCTAAAGTTTGATTCCAATCGCTTTCATAAAATAAGACGGTGCCAACAGCTGTCAAGTTTACCTAGTCCACCAGCTTTTGCACCCAATAAGAACACAGATATCATTCCCATGCTAGAAGTCCTTAACCATGCGTCTCGATGATCCATCATCATGGACCATCTGTATAGCCTTAAATACCTATATTTTCTATAGTTTGTAAATTCCTCGAGAATATTCAACATATCCATTGTTTTTGCAAAGAGAAGAAAGCTGTGATTTTCTGCACTCAAACATTTTCCATCACTTAAAACCATTCTCCGATGCCAAAAATCTAATTCAAATATGTAGATATTGAAGGAATTTTATCACAGAGAGGATGAAAAAGATGAAAACTTAAAGACAAAAATGAGCTACGATCTTCATTATAACCGGCTGCCAATACATATAAGATACAAAAGGATTACAACCATGTTGTTGACTACCAACTACAACTATACTTTTGATAGATTAATACCATGCTTTGATGGACACTTTAATAACAAAAATAAACATTACATAGACTTAATTTTAATACTTAAAGTCACAATACAAAAGTGACAGCAAAAGTGGCAACAAATATCAATAGATATAGATTGAAGATGATCCATATTGAGGCATACCCTATATTAATTAGCCAATTATGATGAAAGTCCTAATTTATTAAAACCATCACTCCATAATATACAATTACGTAATAATTGATAAATTCTGATTAACAAATGAAATTATAAATAACAAAACATTGTACCACAATTTGATACACTTTTTGAATGCAAAACTTGGGATATAAATTAAACATATATGTGCAAGTTGTGGGCAATTGAATTTGAAGAAAAGAGATATAACAAGGATTACTCTAGCTTCATTAGCTCATATCGAGGCTTTCACTAATTTCTAACGCACAATGCATCTCAGTCATTTGATCACAGAGATGGACACGGTAGACCTTTGCCAATGTTCAAACAAAAGGAAAAAAACGCTGAATGCACTTTTCATTTTCCTTTTCTATATTTCTTATCAAAGCCATAATTTCATTTCTCAAGTAAAGAGGACCTAATTTATTATACATGCTTCTGCTTCAGGTGCCTTCTCCAATGCATTTGTCAGTATGTCTCATGATATTTAGGCGCAATCATCCTGAACAGAAACTCTGTTTGTGAACTCCAATGTTGCAGCTTCCATGAGAGAGGAATCACTGCAGTTGTTCCTGAGCGATATGAGAAAAAAGGGTGGGATGCTGTTGGGCATGTTTAGTAAGTGATGCTCAAATCCCCTATGCGATAATGAAAAATTGAGGTCCATTTTAACTTCATAGGCTATAAGCCCAGGATTGAAGAATTAAATCCACACCACAATTGAAGTAGCCCAATTATGTTGGGTATTTAGAGGTAATCAGTCCATTGGGCTAAATGCTCAATACTCAACTTGGAGATAGATAAATATAATCGATATCTTTCTTCAACTACCTTATCTCGTCTTGGATGAGCTCTATCTTTTAGTTAACATAATCTTGCAGATTTTCTATCCTAATCTTGCAAGATTTTTAGGAAATTCATTCTCCCCTATGAGCCTATAAAATTGGAGCCTTCATCCTTCATTTTTCTCATTCCAAAAGAACAGAAATTCTCCTCCTGCTTAGTGCAAAACAAATCCTGCTTTGCCTTCTTTTTGAAATTGTCTTTGTGACTAATAATGACCTTCAAATTGGAGATAACTTTGTGGTGTGGATTGAGTTTCGAAGCTGAATCAAAAGGGAAAAATCATTCTTCAATTTTTCAGTTTTTGGTTTTCACTTTCTTGAATTTAACACTTGCAAATCCTTCATTAGTTGGTTCTTTTGTTTGATTTATAGGTGGGTTTGCTTCACAATTGGTATCAAAGCTTGGTGGTGGTGAAAATTCGGCCAAAAACAGATCAGAAATCGGTAGAAAAATAGAAAAATAGAACTATCCAATTTTTGCACAAAAAATCACAACTACAAACTCGATTTTCCGTCAATCTAGAAGTCCATTTGAGACGTGCAGGTGGAGGCGGCGCTGGATGTGCAGCACGTGTTCCCAGCGACGGCGCGTAAGGGCCCATGGCGTCGATTTTGGGAAAGTTGTCTTCAAGTAGTTTGTTCCTCACATTATTTCTAACATTTTTCATGTTGGAAGTTTTCCGTTTCAGGTTAGACGGAAAAAGTTGGACGATTTTGCCCTTGGTGGATCAACGGTCGAAATTGCCACATACTTACTGAATTACTTTAGGTCGAAATTGTGGCCCTAAAGTAGTAAATTCATATCTCTCGTAA